AAAGCGTTCGCTTTCGGGAGGGATAGCCATGCCACAATCCCTTCTCCTCCTTGCTCCTCTTGGAATTTTGGGCACACATGCACACATGCCTGCTGTGGTTTTAAGCCGCTGGGTCCGGGATTTGAACTGCAGTCAGCCATGTGGGAGTCCAGTGTTTTAACCACTTCACCATCTACTAGCCCTCATCCACTCATTCTTTTATGCATTGACAGAATCATTCATTCATTCACTGAGTTTTCTGTATTACGTTAGCTCATTCATTGTCTCATTCATTTAGTCATTCTTGCATGCTTGGTGAATTCACTCAGCAACCGATGAACTTAGGTATTCCTTCATAGATGCGAATGAACGATTCGTATCTATGTGTTTATTCTTCTTGTTTACTCCCTTCTTTTCTTTTTTTAAAAATATAATTATTTATTGGTACCAGCAGTTGGCGTAATAGCTATGTTGCTGGACTCCCATGTAGTCGACCGTGGTTCGAGTCTCGGAACCGGTGGCTTAAACTTGGGTGCATGTGCGTGCGTGCCCAAGATCCCGAGAGGAGAATGGAGAAGGGATTGCGACATGGCCATCCCCCTTGGGGGGTGATTTCTCGCTTTCTGTCTCTCTGTCTCTCTCTGTCTTTCTGGAGAGCGTATGCACCCTACAGCAAAAACCTCTCCAAAAAAAAAAAAAAAAAAAGAATTATTTATTTATTATTATTTTAAAATTTTACCAGAGAGATACAGATATATATATAGAGAGAAAGTGAGAAAGTAAGCAAGCTACCAGATCCAGGACTCAAACCATTGTTGGCCACGTGGGAGTGCAGTGCCTCAACCACCGCACCACCTGTCGGCCCCTCATCACTTATTTTCTATGCACGAACCAAGTAATTTAATCACTCATTTATTCATACGAATGGCATTAGTTCACTTATTTTCTCGTTCACTCATTCTTGTAAGCTTTATCAGTTCACTCAGCAACTGATTGACTTATGCATTGATTCATTTCTTCAATTCCTTGTTCATCCGTCTATTCATTCTGCCATGCATGGACCAAATCATTTATTCAGTCACAGATTCCTTTATATTCATTTTTCTGCGTAGGTTCTCTCATTTTCTCATTCGTTTGTTTCTTAACTGTTTATTTATTTATTGGTTTTAGTGTTTTTGTTATAGGGCATGTGCACTTGCCAGGGGGAGAGAGAGAGAGAGAGAGAGAGAGAAAGAGAAAGAGAAAGAGAAAGAGAAAGAGAAAGAGAGAAAGTGAGAGAGCACCCTCCTCCCCTTGGGAATAGTCATGCCACAGTCCCTTCTCCTCCATTCTCCTCTTGGGATTCGGGGCATGCATGTTGACATGCCTGGCATGTTTTCTAAAGCTGCTGAGTCTGGCACTCAAACCATGCAGTCAACCACGTGGGATCCAGCCACCTTAACCACCATGCCACAGACTGGCCCCTTTATTTATTTTTTAATTGACAAATAAAAATAATGTATATTTTATCATGTACAGCACAACTTTGTGAGATACATAGGCCTTGCAGAATGGCTGATTCATGCTAATGAACATATGTATTATCTTACTGTTTTAATCCATTCCATTACTAATAACAGAAAATACCTGAAATTAGGTGCTTCATAAAACCAGAGCTTCAAAGCGGACCTGCAGGTGGCGTGGGTAAAAGTGCTGGAATCCCACCTGGCCAACCACGGTTCAAGTTCTGAACTTGGTGGCTTGCTTTCTCACTTTCCCTCTCTTTCTCTGTCTGTCTGAACAAACTGGAAAATAACAATAATAATAAATAAAGTTAAATAAAATAATTCTAAAAGAAAATAAAATCAGAGGTTCATTCAGCTCATCGTTTGGAGGGCCAAAGTCCAGGCACATCTGGAGAGGGTCTTCTGGCTGCATTACAACATGGAGGAAGCCAGGAGTGTGTGGTCTTTATTCCATGTGTCTCTCCTGGCCTCATTTCCTTCCTTATAAATCCACCAGGAGTCAGTCATAGAGGCCCTTCTTTTTAAATTTTTTCTTTATTTATTATGATCACAATCTTGTTTATATTACATCGAATTGCATATAACTTTACAGTGATAGAAGCCCTTCTTAATCACTGCCAAAGGCCCCACTTTACGAAACTTTAAGTTTCCCCTTAATACTGTTACAACCAAATCTCAACACATGAAGTTTTAGGGGACTTGAACCATAGCACAAACACTTATTTATTTATTTATTATTTATTATTATTATTATTATTTTTGAGAGATTTTGGCCATAGGGTATATGCACTGGCCAGAGAGAGAGTTAGAGAGACAGAAAATGAGAAATCACTCCCTAGGGGAATGGCCATGCCACAATCCCTTCTCCATTCTTCTCTTGGGATTTTGGGCATGCATGCACACACGCCTGTTGTGAGTTTCGAGCCACTGGGTCTGGGACTTGGATGGTGTAGACCATGTAGGAGTCCAGCATCTTAACCACAGTGACAGCTGCTGACCCCTACATGTATTATTTTATTTTTAGTTTTTGCTATGGGATGCATGTGCTCAATGAAGAGAGATGGAAACAGAAGGAGAGATAAAAAGTGAGAAATCCCCTCCCAGGGGATGGCCATGACACAGTGCCTTCTCCATTCTCCTCTTGGAATTTTGGGCATGTATGCACATGTGCCTGGTGTGTTTTTTCTTTTTCTTTTTCTTTTTCGAGAGAGATTTTTGCTATAGGATGTGTGTACTCACCAGAGAACAGAGACAGACAGAGATAGAAAGTGAGAAATCACCTCACAGGGGAAATGGCCATACCACAATCCCTTCTCCATTCTTCTTTTGGGATTTTGGGCACACATGCATACGTGCCTGACGTGAGTTTTAAGCTGCTGGGTCTGGGATTTGAACCATGGTCAACTATGTGGGAATCCAATGACATAACCATTATGCCATCTGCTAGTCCTGTCTGATGTGTTTTTCAAGCTACCAGGTCCGGGGTGTGAACCATGGTTGGCTGTATGGGAGTCCAGCACCTTAACTACTACAGCACCTGCTGGCCCCAATAGATAAGTTCTTACAAGTCCAAGACATACAACCTTATGAGGTCTCTCTTTCAACTATCCATTCAAGCCCTCTTCTTGACCCCATATAATCATGATCTCCAAACCCCATCCCTAGACATTTTTGAGGTAGTCCCTATCTCTGACCTTCTAAACTCCCCTTACTGGCCATCCCCAACTCTGTTTCACATTTGTAAGGATTGTGGTATGGCCATCCCTCCTGGGGGATGATTTCTTACTGTCTCTCTGGGTCTCCAATGAGTGCATGTGCCCTTTAGCAAAAATCTCGTTCTAAACAACAAAAACGTACCTATTACCCAGGTGAGCTGTGAATGAGCAGGAGGAGGGCTTTGTGGGGCCCAGACCCCTTTGCTGATGTAGGAGAAAGATCGAGCAGGGTGTTGGTATGATGGGCGGGGCCACGTTTCTGTATGGGCTTTGGAGATGCCAACTCCAGACCCACAGGGGAGGTCATGTGGGATCCCTGACAGGTGTGTGCTTTGCCTAGGTACGCCCCTGTGGGCATCTTGTTCCTGATCGCTGGGAAGATTCTGGAGATGGAAGACATGGCCGTGCTGGGGGGTCAGCTGGGCATGTACACCTTGACTGTCATCGTGGGCTTGTTCCTCCATGCCGGTGGCGTCCTGCCTCTTATCTACTTTCTCGTCACCCACCGGAACCCCTTCCCCTTCATCGGGGGTGTGCTGCAAGCACTCATCACTGCCATGGGCACCTCTTCCAGGTATGGCTTTGCCTCTATCCCTGGCACCCTCCCTGGGTTCATTCCTTGCCCCCATGGGCTTCTCTCGAGAGTCCTGCCCTCTCCTGCCATCCATATCTCTTCTGAGTTGTACAATGTCAGGGGCTCTTGAAGATCTCCAGGTGGCTCAGCACCTGGGGGCTGTTTTTTTTTTAAACTTACAGCCAACTTATTTTTAAAAACATTTATGTATTAATTTATTTTTAATTCGACCAGGGGGAGACAGAGAGAGAGAGAGAGAGAGAGAGAGAGAGAGATGCAGGTGGCGTGGGTAAAAGTGCTGGAATCCCACCTGGCCAACCACGGTTCAAGTTCTGAACTTGGTGGCTTGCTTTCTCACTTTCCCTCTCTTTCTCTGTCTGTCTGAACAAACTGGAAAATAACAATAATAATAAATAAAGTTAAATAAAATAATTCTAAAAGAAAATAAAATCAGAGGTTCATTCAGCTCATCGTTTGGAGGGCCAAAGTCCAGGCACATCTGGAGAGGGTCTTCTGGCTGCATTACAACATGGAGGAAGCCAGGAGTGTGTGGTCTTTATTCCATGTGTCTCTCCTGGCCTCATTTCCTTCCTTATAAATCCACCAGGAGTCAGTCATAGAGGCCCTTCTTTTTAAATTTTTTCTTTATTTATTATGATCACAATCTTGTTTATATTACATCGAATTGCATATAACTTTACAGTGATAGAAGCCCTTCTTAATCACTGCCAAAGGCCCCACTTTACGAAACTTTAAGTTTCCCCTTAATACTGTTACAACCAAATCTCAACACATGAAGTTTTAGGGGACTTGAACCATAGCACAAACACTTATTTATTTATTTATTATTTATTATTATTATTATTATTTTTGAGAGATTTTGGCCATAGGGTATATGCACTGGCCAGAGAGAGAGTTAGAGAGACAGAAAATGAGAAATCACTCCCTAGGGGAATGGCCATGCCACAATCCCTTCTCCATTCTTCTCTTGGGATTTTGGGCATGCATGCACACACGCCTGTTGTGAGTTTCGAGCCACTGGGTCTGGGACTTGGATGGTGTAGACCATGTAGGAGTCCAGCATCTTAACCACAGTGACAGCTGCTGACCCCTACATGTATTATTTTATTTTTAGTTTTTGCTATGGGATGCATGTGCTCAATGAAGAGAGATGGAAACAGAAGGAGAGATAAAAAGTGAGAAATCCCCTCCCAGGGGATGGCCATGACACAGTGCCTTCTCCATTCTCCTCTTGGAATTTTGGGCATGTATGCACATGTGCCTGGTGTGTTTTTTCTTTTTCTTTTTCTTTTTCGAGAGAGATTTTTGCTATAGGATGTGTGTACTCACCAGAGAACAGAGACAGACAGAGATAGAAAGTGAGAAATCACCTCACAGGGGAAATGGCCATACCACAATCCCTTCTCCATTCTTCTTTTGGGATTTTGGGCACACATGCATACGTGCCTGACGTGAGTTTTAAGCTGCTGGGTCTGGGATTTGAACCATGGTCAACTATGTGGGAATCCAATGACATAACCATTATGCCATCTGCTAGTCCTGTCTGATGTGTTTTTCAAGCTACCAGGTCCGGGGTGTGAACCATGGTTGGCTGTATGGGAGTCCAGCACCTTAACTACTACAGCACCTGCTGGCCCCAATAGATAAGTTCTTACAAGTCCAAGACATACAACCTTATGAGGTCTCTCTTTCAACTATCCATTCAAGCCCTCTTCTTGACCCCATATAATCATGATCTCCAAACCCCATCCCTAGACATTTTTGAGGTAGTCCCTATCTCTGACCTTCTAAACTCCCCTTACTGGCCATCCCCAACTCTGTTTCACATTTGTAAGGATTGTGGTATGGCCATCCCTCCTGGGGGATGATTTCTTACTGTCTCTCTGGGTCTCCAATGAGTGCATGTGCCCTTTAGCAAAAATCTCGTTCTAAACAACAAAAACGTACCTATTACCCAGGTGAGCTGTGAATGAGCAGGAGGAGGGCTTTGTGGGGCCCAGACCCCTTTGCTGATGTAGGAGAAAGATCGAGCAGGGTGTTGGTATGATGGGCGGGGCCACGTTTCTGTATGGGCTTTGGAGATGCCAACTCCAGACCCACAGGGGAGGTCATGTGGGATCCCTGACAGGTGTGTGCTTTGCCTAGGTACGCCCCTGTGGGCATCTTGTTCCTGATCGCTGGGAAGATTCTGGAGATGGAAGACATGGCCGTGCTGGGGGGTCAGCTGGGCATGTACACCTTGACTGTCATCGTGGGCTTGTTCCTCCATGCCGGTGGCGTCCTGCCTCTTATCTACTTTCTCGTCACCCACCGGAACCCCTTCCCCTTCATCGGGGGTGTGCTGCAAGCACTCATCACTGCCATGGGCACCTCTTCCAGGTATGGCTTTGCCTCTATCCCTGGCACCCTCCCTGGGTTCATTCCTTGCCCCCATGGGCTTCTCTCGAGAGTCCTGCCCTCTCCTGCCATCCATATCTCTTCTGAGTTGTACAATGTCAGGGGCTCTTGAAGATCTCCAGGTGGCTCAGCACCTGGGGGCTGTTTTTTTTTTAAACTTACAGCCAACTTATTTTTAAAAACATTTATGTATTAATTTATTTTTAATTCGACCAGGGGGAGACAGAGAGAGAGAGAGAGAGAGAGAGAGAGAGAGAAAGCAAGCCACCAGGTCTGGGTCTTGAACTGTGGTTGGCCATATGGGAGTGTTCAGTGCCTTAACCACCACACCATCTGCTGGTCCCTAGGGGCTGGAATTTGTCCTGCGTTCTCCTAGTCTCTTTTTTGTCCTTCCCAGTTTAATTAAGAAAAAATATTTAATTTCATTCATCGTCATTATTATTATCTATTTGTTTTATTATTTTTTTTAAAGAGATTTTTGCTAAAGGGTGTATGTGCTCACCAGAGAGACAGAGCACAACAAAGAAACAGAAAGTAAGAAATCACCCCCCAGGGGGATGGCTACATCGCAATCCCTTTTCCTCCATTCTCTTCTCAGGATTTTGGGCATACGTGCATACCCACCCAGTATATTTCAAGCCACCAAGTCAGAGACACAATCACCGTCAACACTCCATCTGCTGGTTCTTCATGATTATTATTTTTTTAATTTATGACAGGGCACGTGCACTTACCAGAGAGAGACTCAGAGAGAGAGAGAGAGAGAGAGAGAGCCTCAAAGGGTCATCACACTGCAGTCTACCCCCATCAGCCATCCAGGGTCATGGGCATGCATGTGTGTGCCTGGAGCAGTCAGGCAGACCTCAAGGTGTGAATATGGGGTCTTCTCACCTGGGCTGAGCACTGGGAGCATTGCATGGCCGTCAACTCTTGGCTTTACATGGGTCAAGAGACCTTCAGCCTGAAGGGTCCTCATTGTGATATTCTTATTCTTTTTTTCCCTTTTTTTGAGATTTTTGCTATGGAGCACATGTGCTCACTGGAGAGATAGAGAGAGGGACAGAGAGAGATAGAAAATGGGAAATTCCCCCTCAGGGAGCTGGCCATGTCACAACCCCTTCTCCTCCATTCTCCTCTTGGGATTTTAGGCATGAATGCACACTCTCCCATTGTAAGTTTCAAGCCACTGGGTCCAGGGCTTGACCCACCATTCACTACGTGAGAGTCCAGCAACCATTACGCCATCTGCTGGTCCCCGTGGTGGTATCCTTTGTGTCCTGAGGAGCCCCCTTTCTCATGCCCTTTCATCAGCCTCCAGATGTTACACCCCTGTCCTCTTGCTCTTGCTAGAGCTCCCACTTGGCTTCCATTATTGTTCTCAAGGGGAGCCCTCCTCTGGCCCATTGCTGCCCCAGCCCCACCTTGTCACTCTCCGTTCTCAGCCCTTGGGACTCTCTCCCCCAGCTCCGCGACACTGCCCATAACCTTCCGCTGCTTGGAGGAGGGCCTGGGTGTGGACCGCCGCATCACCAGGTTCGTGCTGCCCGTGGGGGCCACCGTCAACATGGACGGCACTGTCCTCTATGAGGCCCTGACTGCCATCTTCATTGCTCAAGTCAACAACTATGAGCTCAACCTGGGCCAGATCACGACGATCAGGTGAGGCGGCTTGAGGGGGACCTGCCAGCAGGTGAGACCCGAGAGATCATTGGCTTGGGTGAGGGGAAGAGGGAGCCAGCACAGGAGTTCCAGGGAGGCCCCCGATGTTGGAAAGGAGATGTCCCCTGGGAAGAGAGCGATGCTGGATGAGCTTATGGTGAGATGTTCACCAGAGATGTTGGAGTTGACAAGGTGTTCTGGTCAGTTCCTTGACCTGCTATTGTGGGAGGGCCCTTTGTCCAGTGCTTTTTTATTTATTAAAGAATTATTATTTTTTAAAAAATTTATTTTATTTAACTATTTATTTATTCATTTATTTATTTCAATTTGACCAGAGGGGGGGAGAGAGAGAGAGAGAGAGAGAGAGCGTGTGACACCAGGTCTGGGACTCGAACTGCAGTTGGCCATGTGGGAGTCCAGTACCCTTAACCACCAAGCTACTTGCTGGCCTCTGTTAAATAATTATTATTTATTTAATTTGACAAGAGAGAGAGAGAGAGAGAATGTGAGACATCACGCCATCAGATTTAGGACTTGAACTGTGGTTGGCCAGGTGGGAGTCCAATGCCTTAATCACCACACCACTGAAGAGACAGAGAGCAAGAAATCATTCCCCGGGGGTTGGTCGTGCCATATTCCCCTCTCCTTCATTATCCTCTCTGGATTTTGGGAGCACACACACACATGCCCAGCACAAGTTTCAAGCTATTGGGTATGTGACTCAAATCATGGTCACCCATGTGACTTCAGTACCTTAACCACTATGCCACCTGCTGACCCCTTTAAAAAAATGATTTTAACAAGATGGAGTCAGTCTGGCGAGGCAGGCTCCTGTTACAGACCCACTAGCAATGTGGCCAGGTGGGAATGAGGACCAGTGCACTGACCTTGAAAAGTCTAGGTAGGATCTATATTTTTTTAATGAGAGTTTTTGCTATAGAGCGCGTGTGCTCGCCAGACAGACAGACAGAGACAGAGACAGAAAGTGAGAAATCACCCCCCAGGGAGGATGGCCACGCCGCAATCCCTTCTCCTCCATTCTCCTCTCGGGATCTTGGGCACGCACGCACACGCGCCCGGCG